AGACTCTTAATTATTAATTAATCGGACCGTGGCCTCAAAAGCTCCAAAAGGTTTCTATAACATCGCCCCTGACAAAAATATCGGCGTTTGTTCTTGCACCATGGAGATTTGAAAACCGGTTGAAAATATCGACGGTCTTCAGAGGCAATCTACCGAATGGAAAGTAAGATTTCACGGTTTTCCTATCGCGAGCGTTTCCTCTGGCCGACAGGATGCGCGAATACTTCTTATAAATCGAACGAAATCCGATTAGCCTTTCTCTGGGCTACTCCTCTTCTTCGTGGAATCGGAGCTGTCGATTCTTCTTTTTGCTCGCGTTTCATCCGAACGTCGGTGTTTCTCCCTGAAAGAGCGTCGATTTTTTCGTTCTTCGTGGAAATAATTGTCGATCGGCTTTATGAAAATAGAAATTGATATTCTTCTTCTACGATTTTTTAATTTTGAAACGAGGTTGCAGTTCGAGTTTGGGATCTTTCACGTTCGATTTTGTGATAGAATAATGAAGATTTACTCTCAATAGAAGTTAGTTACACTATTGAAAAAATGTGTGAGATCACTATGAATTTTACAGAATTTCACAATTTAGAGAAAACTCGGATTAAGGTTTCGGGTTAGGTTAAAAAATTTTTTCATGAAAGATCTGTCGAGATAAAGAAGATTACTGTTATTAGAAATGCTTTATTCTAAATATTCTTTAATATAAATTTTTCCATTATTATCATTAATTAAACATTAGCAGGAGATCCAGTACTGAATTGAGAAAATGATTCCAACAATTTTATTTGAATTAAACAAATTATGGATATCTATAGAGCCGATTTCTAATTAATAAGAGAATAAGCAAAAGATTTAGTACAGGTACAATTGATAAAGTGATTCCAAATTCTCGACTGCATACCTACAATCTACATATGTATCTATATTATTTGGATTATAGTTTAGACAAGTTAGCAAACTACGCGACTATGTTTCTAGAATTTAAATTAGATCGAACTTGGGCCTAGTTAGATTTTGAGTTAAATGTTGGTTTCGGATTTTATGGCTGTATGATTCATACTAATGTCAATTGTAAACGATATCTAGATTAAATCTACATTAAGTAGAACTAGGATCAATATGCATCCAGCTTTACCGAGTCAAGCTTTCAAAAGTACTTACATATTAGAGTTTCAAAAGTTTTAATCTGGTTCCGACTTATATGTAGCTTTAATGGTTGATACGCGATACATATATCAAAACTGTGAAATTTTATCTACGTTTCATCTATAATTAAATTAACTTCTACTTTTATAGAGTTTATGTGTTTTGAATGTGTATCTTCAAAGAGAACTTGACCATGTCTTTAAAAAGAGTAGAAATTTTATAAAAAAAAAAAAAAAAAGAAAATGGCGGAAAAAGACAATTATGATGCATAAAACTAGTAGTTTATAACAGTTCTACTTTATGTAGGCTGTATGTGAGTGAACTAGATTAACGTGTTCTTGATAATTCATGTCAATTAGCTCACTACAAAGTGAAATTTCCTATTTGGAATTCTGTTAGTCGATATCAGATTGTAAATATAGCTACAAGCTGGCAAATACTCCGTAAGATAAAATGTCTCGCGATATGTACATTATTTGTTGTACATTATTACCTTGCAGTAAAGCAAAACTTGAACCATTTTGGTGAACATTTTTTTTCAAGTGAACGATATTACATTTCGAAAATGAATGCACCCTTTGTCCCAAAAATACATAAAATTCGTAAGTGAATGATGAAATACTCCAAAATAATATTGGAAGATTAATATATTACAAATATTAAGTTATATTACGAAATGGTCCTAAATCCATTTGGAATTTAACAATACGCAAAGCATATTCGAGAAGCTTGTAAAAGAGCATGATATCCATTCACAATTGTCGATATTGTTATCTCTACGGGAGAGTGGTCTACAATTTACGATACCATCAAGTTGTTTCTCCGCGATCTTCCCACAGCACCGATTACGTGGACACTGCAAGTGGAGAAATTGTCGCGGTGCCATTTCGAATTATCATTTTACACTCGTCGCGTTTCTATATAACACAGACCTCTTTTACCGTTACCGGCAGCCATCGACGATGGTGTTTTATGTTTCGCTGCACGTCACCGTGCGGCTTACGGGCGAATGTAAACCTCGTGGTGTACGTATTCCCGATAACGTTACGTTTCTTGTGTCGAGACCGATGTACATATACGTTCGAGCAACTTGTTCCATCATACGAATCCGTCTGAAAACTTCGAAAGCCACCATCGTCGAATTTTATTCGCCAACGACGATCAAAATCGAGACGATATCTCGATGGGCGAATGGGCTCGCGACATCTGTCACAGCAGTCAACATTTCTGTTTCGTTAAACATGATGTGTGCAAGATGCACGGTTAATTGAGATTGTAATTTTTAGTGTTGTTAATGGAGAATATCTATATTTGTTGAGGAGTCCTGGAATAACTTGTTCCGAATTTTATTGGGTTGTCCGAAAAGTTTTTTTTGTTTCATAAGGTGATAATAGATGAACAACAATTTCTGTTTCATATTGTTTTATTGAATTAGCTATGATCCATTTCGTTCCATTTCTATTATTGCATTCGTGCATAATTCAATAAACTAATATAAAACAACATTGTGTGTCTATTATTTTCTTATAAAACGAAGGAAATTTTTCGGACAACCTAATATATATTTTGCTCTGAGAGCCGTAACAGATTGGAATGTACTATAACCGTAACATTTAAGTTTTGACGATGACTTCTTTAACTGAAAATCTTTAAATGTTTAAAATTTAGCTTTTTAATCGTTAGAAAAAAATCTAGGACATGAAGTTAGTACAATTGAGTATTTTTAATACCTATCCTTCAGCTGTGCAGTAGTTATTTTCATATATTATCCCATAAATATGGAGCATTCCTAAGAGTATTAAGATTTTGCAGAAATGTTACTCCCGCGTGACAATCGAATATTTCGCGAAACTTCCTCTCTTTTGTAAAATAATCAGAAGAAATATTATTACTCTTTTCTCTCTTAACAATGACAATTTCTCGAGTATTAAAACGAATCACTTCGAACTGCAGGTTTTCATTAAAATTCCAAACAACGTTCTAGAAATTATATTTTCATCAACAGACCAAGCAAAGACGCGCGAATACCTCGGTTCTTTAATTCCGAGACTTTAACGCGACAATTAGACAAAAACGGTACACAAAGCTCCGAGGCGAGCGAAAACAAAAACAACGACGTCGATGAAGCCGGCCTCGACGACGAAGGAATTAAAACGGAGAAATAAACGAACGAATAGAAAAAGGAAAGAATAAAAAAAAAGGGAGAAAAAAGACGAAGCAAGAACGACAACGGGGCGAAAGAATAGAAGAATTAATAGAGGCTCCTTCCTCCGTAAATTTTTCCATAGTTCAGGGGATGAACGTCGAACTCTACGGTCCGGTTCTCAATTTACATTCCGGACAAATCCAATTTCGTGCGAACAAAACTGACGCGCGAGCGAAGAACGGTCAGCCCATTTTCTCTCTTACGACTCGCTGCTGTCGGTAATTGTTCCAGTCACGCGGTTGGTACGTGATTATCGAAGCAAGTATGAAGTATCGAAGCCGATCTCGATAAAAGGGGAGACGCTGACCACTGACGAATGTCCAGCACGACAGACAAGCTCTAGCAGAGTAAACTGTTTCAACATGTCGTGCGGATCGAGGCTATTGTTTGTTGGAAAGAGGGAACAAGTGTAAATGTTTTGAAAGTTTGAAAAGAATTTCGTTAGTACGAAGATTGTTCGAACGTGTTCGAATATTAGAAAGATTCAAACAGAAAATCGAAGCTAAATGATGGACAATATGAGAGATATAATCACTTGAGAAGCTTGAATTAAGGTTTCATTTAACTTTAAACTTTAAAATATCTAGACTATAATTGAAGTTTCATAAAAAAACGGAGGATTAATTATACTTTTAACTATAAGTAAATACGATATATAAATAATATAAAATAATACAGATCAGATCATGAAACGCATTTAAACAGTAATAGAAATAAAAATTGAACGATAAGAAATAAAAGAGAAAGTCCTTCAAACGAGGAAGAAAGAAATTATAGAGATATTAATATAGTATGAATGATAGTATGAATAAGATCAAATTATTTTAGAATCTGCTAGCTCAACAATTTTGACTGGTAAATACTATTATGAGGACATATCTAGTTATTTGAGAAATTAGAACGTGTTAAAACGTATCTTGTTATTTAAGAAACTGGAGCTCTACATATTATATATCAGTTCTTCATAGTAGTATAAAATATAATTTATTATACGATCACATATGTATTTTTACCAACTTGTTGAATATTTCAAGAATATCCGTAAAAATATTGATTGACATTTTAAATATAAATATTTCGAAAATATTAATTGATATTTCAAATAAAAATACTTCAAAGATATTGGCTATCACTACACATTAAAAGTACACACTTTTAGTCAGGGAAGTGAAATCTATTAAAATCAGAACTTTTCATATACCATTAACTATTATAAATATCTTATTTGTACCAATATATTTCACATTTTCAATACATTGACTATTTTCATTCACATTTCACGTCATATATATAGATATATTATACATGTGTACCATCATATGTATTAAATATTTTCGTTTACTTCATTCAAATTTTTACATATAAAAAGATAACCAACAAAGTGCAAATATCAAGGAATATTGTTAAACAATCTAAACCTAAATAAATGTGTGTCTTATCTTTTATATTTATATACATTACTTGTAATATTTTACATATTTTCACATTTATAATAACAAAAATAGATCTTTGTGACATAAATGAATAAAAATTCTCAATTTAGTACTTAATTTCTTGCACAAAGCGAATCAAATAGTGTATTATTTTTAATTTTAAGTCTACTATATAGGTTATTAAACCTATTTTCTGTACAATACTAAAAATAACTTACCTTTATCTCCATTACAATTCTCCTTCTTCGCTCTTAACTCGCAGTTATCATCACTAATCCATTTTATTCGCCATGATAATGTTCCTTAACCCTCGTTTGACGTCTGCGTGACATACTACATATCGACAGTCAACATAACACCGACCCCACAACACATAACAAAAAACTCAAACAAATTACGTCGTCATATTCGAGAAATCTTTTTCAACTACTATATAAATGTGTTAACTATTCTGAACCAACTTCCACCGACTTTCCACAGTAGAATTAGTTAACTTTCCGTTATCCACGTGTACCGACACGTGGATAACACACGTCTGCAACGCGACTCTTCACAACGAGTAGAGAATTCGACATTAATTCGCGTCTATAAAGCGAACGCGTCGATGGCCGACACGTAGGCGCGAACAAACTGGCACCGCGGCTTGTTTACAAACGAGCTTGTAAATTGCTTTAACGAACCACTCGTCCGCGCGAGAAATGGCCTGCTGATAGGCACGGATAAACCGTACGGATCCAGGTTTCGGCTCGTGTTGCTTGAAAACATTAGAACCTGCGCATCGATTTTCACGCGGCGCATGTTAATCGTCGATGTTTGTGTGTGTATGTGCGTGTGTGTTTGCAACCGCGTATTTTCGACGTGCGTGCTTGTCTATCGCTGGTAAATAGCTGTTGCTAGTAATTGTTATTTGTTGCTGGAATAACCGGGGAACAATTGAGACCGCGATTTTTTATCGTGCTTTCGTTATATGCGCGGGAGAAAAAGTTCATATTCACCTCTATTCAGGAGTATTAAAAAGAGGCACTTAAAAAGGTATAGTAAGTACGTAATATAAAAAGTCTTTGGAATATTATTAAAACTATTATTATATCGATATTGGCCACTATATAACTTAAAATACTAGATTGTAATGAAACATAGCACTGCTTCTAAATGTCCGGATATTTTAGCTGGTTTATAATAACAGTATGTGAATTTCACCGAAGTGTACAAATTAATAATGATTTTATAAGTAGGAGCAGCTCATCGGTCTATAAATCTTAATTGTCTATTTAAAAACATAGCAATAATATATTTTATTGCATATATTTACCATTTGAATATCATTAGTTGTATTAGTATCAGAAGTATTCCTATCAGATTACAAAATTCTTCTTAACCTAATTTATAATTCGAAAATGAAGTTTATAATGTTTCTATAATAGTTTCTAGTATAATAGTTTATGATATCTTCTGAGCCCAAATTAGATCTATTGCTAGTAAAATCAAAGCCATTAGTATATTTATTTTAACCCGAAATCTAATTAAAATTCGACATAACGCGTGGTCAAAAGAATCGGGAATTGGTTTGCCGCGCAGTTTTAGTCGAATAAACGATCCGAAAATATGAACGAATTTCGATCGAACGAGGGGCTATTCGAGTGCGCGTACGTTGATTACACGAAACATTGATTGGTCTTATTTGACAGCAGGCAAATATATTGCACGGAAGCAGGCTGGTCAATATTTGGTAAAACAATGAAAATAACGTTCGACCATAAGCGATTACAAGTGCCAGCGAACATTGAACGTCACTTGGTCGGTATTATCGGCAGATCAATCAATTAAGGAAGGTACAGTTTAATGATGACTTCTATTAGCATCCGAAGTTCTATTGAACTTTTACAAATGTCAATCGTCAATTCGTTAAAAATTAATTTAAAACTAAAAGTAATTTCAGAAATATTTTAAGTTTTACTACTACAAAGAAATTCTTGATTTCTGTTTAATTTTTTTATAATTAAAGGCTATTAAGGTTTCAAATTGGATCCGGTTAAAATTTATAATAGAGTTCGATTAACTCTAACTGATTCGAATCTACTTTAATTTAGGTTCAAATTAGAATTATTTGAAACCTAATTTTTCGCTTCAATGCTACTATATTCTTTTTCTACAAAGAAATGTTTAATTTATAATTTTTTCTGTAATATCAAAATCAAAAGTTTCTTTGTAAAAAACGAATATTGCATTCAAGCTAGGTTCAAGATAATCTCAATCTAAATTAAACTAAGTTAGAATAGGTTAACGTTAGTCGAATTCAGAATTCTAATCAGATTTAAAATTAATCCTGCGGACCTGCTTTTTTACAGATTATTTTTCAGATTACAGGTATATCACGCTTAAATTATATAGAATTATTACATAATTTAATATCAAATCGTGACTACCTTTAATCCAACCCAAAAACCAATTATAATTAATTCATATCAACCTCTCTTCCTATTAAAATGTAACCAGAGCTAATCAAAATTAGTTCTATAATGCATCAATGTTTAATAACAAATTACACTACAGCTGGCACCACGTACACATGTGTAATTCGGAGCAATTTCCATTGAAAGCGAAATAAAAATCAACAAACCAGATTTTTTCTCGACACTGATCTTTTCTCTCAAAAATTTCCTCCCTCCTATTATTTTCCGCTTGCGCCGCGTAGCAAAACGGGCGCAAAAAGCGCGGCGGAGGGGTTAAGCGGGGAAAGGGGCTGCGCGTTATTTGCGCGGACACGCGAAATTGCGCTCACAAGTGTAATTAAAATCCAATCAACGTTCGACATTTATCAGGGGCCAGTTTAAATATTTTACTCGGCGATTGCGTATCGTCGCATCAAAAGTGTACTTAACGCAAATCGACGTGCTTATCAATTCCATATTACTCGCGGAACACGTCCAACGATTTTCAGAACCTCGCTACACTGCGCTTTATCTCCCTCTTCTCTTTATGCATATACATACATATATCTTTGCGTATGAGTTTGTATACATCGACGTTCAAAAATTGGCGATCGAGCTCGAACGAGGATAATGTCCCGATTATATAGATGAATTGAATAGCTAAGTATTATGAAACAATAAATCATCTCGATTCGAGTTAAATTAAAATTTCGAATCGAATGTTTATTTTTTCATCGGAAAGTTTTAGACGTAAATATCGTATTTTAAACAAATCTCGCTAAAACATAGAACGTGTTATTAAAAATCAATTTTATTATCAAATAAAAATACATACAATTCAGATATCTTGACTAGAAATTGTATTCGTAAAAGATTGATTTCTGATGGCATAATTCGTCGTGACTACGTGAAAAAAACAATTTTTTTTTTTGTTTTTGTGAAATTGATGTATTCTAATTTAAAGTTTTACTTTGGGATAAGATTGATCTCAAATGCACATTTCATGGTAGTCAGGCGTAAAAATAAATCTTTTTCATAGAAAATTATTGTATCTCGATTTGAAATTCCACATTAGAAAACTGGTAACACATTCTACGCTGGACACATAAAAATGCATGTCTTCACAAAAATAAATTCTTGTATTTCGACCTAATATTACGTTCGAGAAAAATTCGATTTCTAGTAATGCGTGCTCCAAAAGGATACATCTTTCTATGTAAAATTTTGTTTTTAATTTAAGAGGAAAACCGTAGAAAAACTTGTGTAACTGAAAAGAAATATTCAATATCAATATAAGAGTAATCATATCACAGACAAAAGAATTTATAAGATAACATGCTAATCATTAATGATAAATCATTAGTGAACGAGCTAAGTATTCTCGACTTATTTCCATTAAATTCCATTTTCTTGGTTTTCCCATATTAATCTTGTTTGATAATCTCTTGTAAGTTCCCCTTTTTTCAAATTTTGATCATTATTGAATCATCTATTTTCCACTTTTTTGATATTTAAGTAATTACATACTTACTATTTAGCAAAAGATATATCCAATATATCAGATCTCAAAAATAAAAAATTTATTTTATAATATCAAATCACACACACGAATTATAAGTAACTAATTGTACTAATTTTAAGCTTAAAATAATTTATTCAATCCTCACCACACGACCTTCAATAATAAAATATCCTCATATCATTAAATTGTCGCGAGGAGATTGAAAATTCGTGAAACTCATTAAAATACAGCGACGTGGCGTGAATTACTGTATACAATAAATAATTCAACTTTTCTCTTGCGTTATACATCTCTTATATTTATCTGCGTAAATAATTAAAGGAAAGTAGACAATCCATTTTCACTTCTAGTAAATGCTATTTTATTATCTGTATCTTTTTATTAAAGTAACATTGTAGTTTTTTAAGTTTATTTGCGTGATAACGATAATATTTCCATTATCCTTAAGTTGTTTTCCAAGATTGCTCTTTCGATTTCAAATAGTATTTATTTAGTAGCTTGTCAACTTCACTCTGCGGCTAATTGATGGGACTCCATTCGAAAGATTACCGTGACCAATGTATTATAAATTACCCGCAGTAATCCTATCGTTTGCTTTGATTCGAGGTATTTCTGAAACAGATTTGGAACCAAACAAATAGGTGTATCTGGTATCGAAAATCCTCGAACAATTAACGCTTCGTACAGCGGTAAACCGTGATTTATTGTTAAAGCGACATTCATTTTTGAATAGCATCATATGGAAATATTGCCATTTCGAATAAGAATTAACATATCGATTTGCAATGATTTCTAATAGAACTATTACATAATAAATATTATATGATGTTAGGTAATTTAAGTTCTTGTAGCAATTATTATACTCAAATTAAAATAAGGAACTAATCAATCACAATTATTTTTTATCGCAAGTAAACAAAATTCCGATTATGATTGATTAATAGTACGAACTTGATTTTCTTTCATTCCATTCTAAATAATAAGGGTAATAAACTAGTTTTACATTGAAAAATTACAAATAGAATTTCAATTTCTCTATGAAAAATTTTTCTTTCCAAAATCTGAAGGTGCTAACAAAGTAATTATACAACTTAATAACACATTCCCTTGAGTTTTCTCTATAACGCATAAATAATTATGTGCATGCATATGTTTCGTCACCCTCCGTGTGTCGAGACACGATCTCGCGAGCCGTATCGATTTCCCTCGGATAAAAGCAATTAACGTTTCGACGCATTCGTTTCTTCACGTGTGACCGAGCCAGCCGAATTACACGGAAAACCGTGCGTGCCTGATCGATTTTATTCGGTCAATCGGAGAACATAGTGAATATTTTAAATGTACAAGGTGTTTCAAAATTTGGAGATTAGTTTCAAAGCTCATCAACACTACAATCATCCTTCGTTACAGTGCTAACGAAGCTTGATAAAGTTTCGCAAAACATACCGAATGTATTCACAAAAATTTTCCATGATAAGTGTTCAGTGTTTAGCAAAAAATAAATAAATTCTCTTACGCTGATTGCAGATACGCAGTTGAAAACGTCTTACAACTTTGAAACTAATGATATTTGAACCTGTATTTATTAAGACTATTTTGCTTGTTTTCCTGAGCACTACATGTTTCTAATGTATGTGATTCCAATTTTTTGAAATACCCTGTATACGCACTGTATATACCTATACATGCATGTATTTATAAGCACATGCGTGTACATAGTATCAGGAAGAAAACTCGATGATAACCGGTCCGCCGTGTAATTACAGTGTCCATTAATTA